AAGCAATTCCAACTTCTGTTTTCATTTGAGTTCCAACACTATTGTACTTATTCCAACTTCCCCAGGAATTTTTCTTTTTGATAGTACATCCTCGAGAACCGTGAATGGATTTCATGTGGCAGCATTCATAGGAGCTTCTCTCGTGCTATATGGAAATAACTAATTTCCAATACCACTATATACTCTTGGGACTGTAATGAATGTCAAGTTCCAGCAAAAGCGATATGTAATGCAATTTGTAACTTGTGTTGTAGCTTTGCATCGGGTAGCATTTTCAATTTCTTCTATCATTAACACCTTGTAGGATGGGTGTGCTTTCGCTTTGCCTTGATAAAAAGTTCCATTTTTCTTTGAGATTCACCTTTATTACCAAAGCATGGTATTATTTACCTTCTATCAATTTTACTCTTAGTTTATAATCTAAAATAGAGGTAAATTATACTCAAAGAAATTAAGCTTAAAATGTGTTTCCTTACTGAGTACTGACTGTTGTTGGCTCTAGAGCAAGCAAATAAACACTTCCCCAAAATAATTCGTTCAACATCTCGACGAGTTTACAGAAGTTGTTTTCAAATAGCATCCCTACATTCCAGTTTGAAAGGCAAAATATAACTACGAAGACACAGTTTAATTTGCGCCGACATTTCACTGATCAAATGATTGAATAGCTCGCTAACGACAACATCTACAGGCTCACGCCACGCATGGGCAGACGTTTTTCATCCCTGTCTGTTTATCGAATATTCAACGATACAATCGAACACCTAAGTCTATGGCACAGCGGAAAACACATAATCATGTAATCTGCACGAAAAGACCCAAGCTATCCATTAAGAGTACTGATCACTTCAAGAGCTTGTCCACCAATGTCATCTACTACATAACTTTCACTTATTTAAAAACAACTATAAATTGGAGAAACAGGGAGACAACTAGGGGACCAACTCCGAGAATACCTTTGTGACGTAGAAAGGAAGGGCAAGGACACATCCAAACCAGTTGTTAGACACTTCAATCTCCCTCATTATTCTACACAGCTTATGGCAGTTCAGAAAACCACAAAACTTGTAGGAATCAACTTGAAGCTGAATGTTGGCTATCCCCAAATTTGGAAGTTTTTAATCGACGATGTTGAGTTTAAAAAACAATTATCTGTTAAAAAACCAATTGTCACGGGATACAATTTTTATAAATCAGGAAAAGTGGAAGGAATTTATATTAAACAGGAAGGTGAACTGTTTTACGTCAAGAGCCAAGTAAAGTCATCTTATGACAAGCAAGCTGACAAGAATAAAAACATCTACACTGTCAAAATGACAATAAATGCAAGTTCACAAGTTAAACAAGCTGTCTGCCCATGCCCCTCAGGAAATGATGGATGGTGCAATCACCTAGCTGCTACTTTATTTGCTATGGAAGATGCATGTAAGAAAGCTGCTAGCACAACCACAGAAAGTGGATTTCCCTGTACATCAAAACCTTGTAAATGGAGCATTCCAAAGAAATGAAAACAAGAGCTCACTACTGTTCAGGAACGGTTAAATTTGTAAAGGATGTGTATGGAAAGAAAGAAAACGAATGTTCATCAAGTGCAGCAGTCAATACCATACACTGCCTGGCTTCCTGTATTCTGAAGGATATTCAGTTTCATCATGGTTCTTGTAGCATAAGTGTGTAGTTTTCTCCTTCAAAAGGCCAAAACATAACAAAAATGTATCATAGTTGGGAAAGCCGGTATAAAAGGCAATGTCATCATCTTTATCTTTGTGCTCACTCAATTCAAACTTTGGTTTAGTGTTCAGTTCGTTAATGTTTGCCTCAAGGGACGTTAACTTTTCTTTGAGAACTAAGATTTCTTGCTTTAGAGATTCTGACTCGTGTGAACAGTCTGTTTGAGTGCACTGATCTCTACATTTTTCATCTTGGACGTCCATAGCTACACTGTTTGTCGTGGCATCGTTAGGGCATCCAGAGTCTTCAATATTTTCATTTTCAGCTTGCAATGAAGTTGTTCCTGGTCGTATTACGATCCGTACTTCAACCCTTTTGTGCGCCACAGATGCGAGTACTAGAAGAATTTTTCTTGAGATTTTTGTTACGTATGAGCTTCTCGTACATTCTTAGCACTTTTGGATCGCTTGGAAGACTGTGGAAGCTCAATTTGGGAGAGTTTCTCCAGTTATTAGTGCACTCAGGCACACAGCAATTCGCTATTTTAACCATTTTGTATCTCCCAAACCGTAAATTCTGATAATATGGCGTCCCCTAAAGTCGCACCATCATGCTCTGCGCTAACCAACTCGACCCATTCCCGGCTCAACGTAAAAATGGCGAAAACGAAAAAAACTTTCAAATCGGCACTCAATTAATCAGCATTCAACTAATTTATTCTTGTTTTTCTCGTTAGAATGATCCCACCGATAGCTCAATTTTTTGCACATAGACACACTTTCAACCCACTCCATTCGCTTTGATGAAGGGCTAAAACTCAAAAACTCTTAAAGTAGGCCAGTTTAGAGGGTCTCGATGGGGTTAGCAGGCAACCATCAACCGTCAAATGGCCAAAATATTAACCGTCAACCGTCAAAACGCAATATTTTTACAAATAAGCAGGCCAACGTTAGCCGTCAAATATCTCAGATATTCTTGATTAAGAACTAAACGATTGCCTTAGCTGAGGTCAAGTTCTGCTGTTTATCACAAAAATACATTTATGTAAGTCCTAAAACTTCTAGTCGCGAGTAAAACTGGTTAGCGACAGAACTGACTTCCGGTGTGGAAACACTTCCGGTGTCATAAAACGTTAGTCATTTATGAATAAAAAGTGTTATAAATTGACAGTTCTGTACAAACGCGTCATTATGAATAATTACAGCCAAATTCGCGCGTTCAGTTCGTTTTATAAACGGCATTCCAAAAAATCAACCGTCAAATGACCTAAAATTTAACCGTCAACCGTCAAAAGGGCTTACTTGACACCGTCAACCGTCAACGTGACCTCCCCTTCCCCTCACTGAGACCCTCAAGTTACATTATCGACTCAGTTGATAACACCAAATTATCTTGTTATACTCCACCGCCGGCAAAGCACCACAGTTTCTTGAGAAACTTACCCCCTTTTAATCATACATTTCCTCGAGATTTCTGAAATCCTGGATCCATTGAAAAAAAACCACGAAAATACACTTGTGAATAAGTCTTTCAAGACTAAATGGCCGGCATTACTTTTTTTTCTTTCTTTTCTTTTCTTTTTTTCTTTTTTTGCAATTCTTTAGAGTTTCATTTTCGATTTAAGTGTTAATTTTTCTGTAAACGATTATCCATAGTGATGAAGTAAACGATTTTTGTTTAGAATTGCCGAGGAATATGGCAAGATTTTCAAATCAAATTTCTATCAATTGATGCGTACACGGCCTTTTTCTTTGAATTATGTGATGAAAGTTCGAAGAAACTCCTCTACCGAAACACCCAAGAAAAATTTCGAACAGTTACGTGGCCTTGTCCAAGTAAAGAATACTACTGGAACCTTTTTTATCGTTGTAATGAGGAAGTTAAAAGTTCGAGAAAGCATATTATTATTAGTTTTTTACCGTTAATTTTTATTATCAAATGTATTTCTAAACATTCTCTGATTAGAATAATAATTCAATATTTATATTGCGCAAATTAACATGTGGATATGATCAAATGCGCATTACGACACCTTTCGGGGGACTTTGGCCGGACTGCATCAGCAGTTTACAAACAATCGAAGGAAACCTATTTGAAGATGCCTCCTCCCCCCAATTCCCAGTAAACAGGCCAGACCATATCACAGTAATCTCCTGAGCGGGTTCTTTAACGTCCCCTGACTAACCAAATTAACTAATTATTAGATGCAGGAGACGGGACCTACGGTTTTTTCGTCCTTATCCGAGAAGACTAGAATGTCTATCCATTTGTTATTAAAGAAAGGTAGCGCATTCTCCTCAGTTATTTTAAGACCTTGAGTATTGGTCCGGCCGGGGCTCAAACCATCGACCTCGACCTCCCGCACAACAGTCCAGCGCTCTAATCAAATGAGGTAGCCGGGAGGCGGCTTGTTAGCTCATATGCTTCACCGTCATTGAAAATATTGGCAGTTGGTGACAACCAACGAGTACGTATTTTAACGATTTTGATACCACAAGATGAATGATATTTGCTTTCTCCAACTTTTAACTTCCTCATTACAACGATAATTCTTAATATTGAACCAGTTCTATCAAATTTAAACCACAAGTCCTTATTCGTTAGCCGATGAAGAACACTGAGATATAAGACACTCTCTGTTTCTCTGGTTTTCATTTGATGATCTCTAGGCTTCTGCTCTTGGTGTTTGCGCTCTTTCATTGAATTTTCTTAAACGATTGAGCTGTTTTTTGACGCATGGTCAACTCCAAAAATTAGTGTCCAGATTCTTACATGTGGTTTTTATGGCGATGAATATTGTACAAACTATTCGATAGTCTGTCATCTTATAAACACAAACTCAACATAAAGCAGGAAAAAACATAAGTGCAGCGAACAATTCTAGTAACCCCTGTAAACTTTGTTCAATTTAAAGTTCTATCTAACCTTTCTGGTTTTCTATTTAGTGGTAAATTTAACTTACTTATTTTAGAAACAAGCTATTTGCAACCCGTTTGTTTGGAAAAATACGCAATTTGTCAGATGTAGCGGAAGAAATGGCCGTTGTTTCGAAAATTTTTATATTGTTATAAAGTTTTCTTTCTCTTTTTCATTCATGACATTTCTTATCCCTTTTATTGTCATTAACATTATCTCTTATACCTTATCGTTATTATTATCATTATTTCTGTTGTTACAATCATTATCATCGTTATCTTTCTTACAAATATTGCAATCATCATTAGTTCCTTTAGAGCTTTGTCAACACTAAAGCATGAATCAGATCAGCAGAAACCTAAGGTAACTCTTAGGCATCAGTACTTGTTAGATACACATACATGTATTCTTACCTTCTATTTAATGAAGGACAGTCTAAGGAATCCTTGGAAGCCGTTTGGCTTGTTAGGTAGGTTTCCTCAGTTCACTTCACTATTGGGCTCTTTGCAGAATCTAATTACGGTACCTTAAAACAAAAATAACCACTAGTAATTCTAAATTTGTGAGTGACGCAGGGAAGAGGAAACCAATGCAGCTTCCTCATTCCCTTAACGATATTCTCGGAATTACGACGTTTAGAAAACTATGATGGATTTCTAAAAATAAATTCCCTGTCCAAAATAAGCTTTCACATGGCAAGTTTATGTCCATTCACGTTATCTCAGAAAAGATTTCCATTGTCAAGGCAGTAACGTCTTACTCGTATTGTACGTTTATCTTACCCTCTTGCAATTATCTTGAATACAATTTTGCGGTGTTTTTGGGGCTTGGAGACAGCTATTCGTCCATTCGTCACCTGAAATAACAAAAAACACCTACTCGTTAAAATAAACACCATGCATTCATTATAAAGGGAAATCCCCACTTACCAAGAATTATCCTATTTCGTCAAGTCTTCCTCCGGAAAAACGCAAAATACAGATTACCGGCTCACTATCAATTTGTAATTTCGCATTTGACTGTGTTTTCAAACGCAGGGTTCGAAAAGCCACAGAACTGATCGATGATACTCGACTTGCTCGATTGATGAAATTCGATCACTACTTTTTTTTTCTATTAAGTCGACGAAAACGCCATCAATCTTGGAGCTGCAAACTCCTAGCTGTAAAAGTGACATTTCTAGTGGTGCTAGGTGTGTTCTATATATTCTGCAGGATCATAAAGTAACCTCTGTCCCCAGCGTTTTCCCAAATTCAAAGTAAGGACGAGTCCTATCAGAGCTGTTCTTTGAAGAACAACATCTGAGTGAGTAACGTTTCGTCGTCGATCGCGATCGATAGTGATCGTGTCTGTGTTAAAAATATCAATCTGTAACGTTGACTGAAATCAACATTTCCCAGATATTCAAGCGGACAATACACTGTCGCGTCTCCTTCAAGTTGTTTTCGGTGCAAAGGACGTTTCTGGTCGCCGGCTAGAAACGTCGTAAAAAAATTGATCAATTTCACACCGTCAAATCATCAAATGGAGTATTAGTTAGCGGGAGACTGATTAAAATTACACGAACGAAATGCTTCACAAAGCATCTTCAAGTTAACGAAGTTTTTTGTCACACAATGTCAGAGAAGGTCCCAGATGATGAAGGACCTGGTATCGCTATCCAGCGGATACAAACCGTACAGTCCTATCCACCAGATAGAGATTTTTTCAGTGAATAATGTTATTCACCCCTCGAAAACCGGGGCCAGAAATATATTGAGTTCACTAATTTTCTTTGAGTAACAGTAAGATATAGTGTGAGTCAACTAATGCCATTCATCAACCCAATATAGTTTCGTTTTGTTTCACAAAGTACAACAAACGATGGTGTTACGGATAGAATGAAATCCAGTTCTTCACCGCATTAAACATGTAGATTTTTTTTAATCTGCAAACTCACCTCCTTCGACCGTGACGAAAACGGTCGATTGAACCTTGACGGGAACTATTCGACAACTGAGAGGCTGTTTAAAAAATGCATACGCTTTCGTTTTCCAGTGGTCACGATCACATGTTCGTCCCCAATGACTCTCAACGGCCCGCACATATGACTTTAAGGTGATAGAGGAATAAAAAGATTATGATTAGCATTTTAGGTCCGATGTCGCATAGTTTTTGCACTCAAGAAGGAAAAATTCAAGAAGCAAAGTAGTGGTGATAGGCCTTGCAGATTAGATCTTCTAATTGTATCATAAAGTACCGGGTGCCGATCGGGTATGTAAGATTCCTTTTCTGTATTGTATACCATCTTGCTAAACAGTTTTCTCTTAAGAAAATAATGCAAACCGCCGCCCAGTTAGCCCAATGGATATAGATAGATAAATCGTTTATTAAAAGGAAACACCTCGCAGTCCGAAGACTGAATTACGTGTATAATATACAAGAAACAAAATTCATAGTTAAAATAGTTTGAAAATCTTAATAATAAAAATATACAATCTAATAAAAACATTTCACTTAGGATAATCTTGTGTTAAGAAAATATACATACTTAAACATATATATTTACATCCTTAGGCTATGGCTAACGACAAAAGATTTTTGAAGACGATCAGTCTTGCACACTGGCACGTTAAACTTCCTATTGCTGCGCAGCTGCCTGTGGTGCTCAGCTTTAGGTGGAAGCAGACCTGCGAGCTTGTGATTAATGTCAAGAACAATGTCGTTAAAAAGATCCAACGATAGAGATGCTCTCCTGCCGTAAAGAGAAGAGATGCCTGCCTCTTTGAGCGCGCTGTTGTAGCTTGCATAAGGAAAGATAATGCGCAAGGCGCGCTTCTGACTACGTTCCAGCTCTTCGGATAAATAGAACGGAAGGCTGGAGTGAAATACTTGACATGCGTATTCTAAAACCGATCTTATGGTACTACAGTAAAATAAAACAAGATCACTCGCACAGACACCAGCACGTTTGAGTTGACTCAGGAGGTACAATCTTTTGGCAACCTTTGAGGTTACATTAAAGATGTGATCGTTCCATTTGAAATCATCTCTTATGGTAACGCCGAGCACTTTAGCCGAGTTAACTGTCTCGAAAGCAAGGCCATCGAGTTCAACTGGAGAATGAATTGGAGGAGATCTCTTAAAGCATGACTGCAGCTCCCGTTGTGCGGGAGGTCGAGGGTTCGAGCCCCGGCCGGACCAACACTCAAGGTCTCAAAATAATTGAGAAGAATTTGCTGCCTTTCTATAACATCAAGAAATGGTTAGATATTCTATTCTTCTCGGATAGGGACGAATAAATGGAGGTCCCGTCTCCTGCAGGGTTGGGGTAGGAAACGTTAGTTTCCCACACACGAGATTGCTGTGTGATGGATGTCCTCATCTGGGGTGGGATGGTGGGTTTGTTGTGAATGCCGTAAGTTAAATAACTCATTGGGTTAATTACGTCACCTTCGTTAAATAAAGAATAGTGTATTGCATTGTATTGTATTTCAGGAAATTAGTCTCTATGCTTCAGGCAAAGCGAAATTGTACAATTGTTTCATGTATTGTTTTTTGTTTGTTTGTTTGTTTTATTTTCTGGTGAGGGGACGAAATGTTTGAGAAAATGATAACCAATGGTAAGATTATCCTTTTTGAGCACCTTATAAGGTTAGCTTTGATCTGAAAACGCAGACTCGGGAAAAGGAGATGAAACATTTAAGATACCCCTCTACCTATGTTTGCATATATTTCTACGAAGTAAGTGAAGCAAACGTAAACGATATCCTCCAATGGACGAGAAAATATGCTCGTGTAGATGTCCTTGGAAATTATCTGTTCTTCGAAGCTCACAGTTATCTTCCCATATTAGGCCCCAAATTGAGGCTTCTATGTTTATCAAGAAACCTTTAAATGTAACTTACCGTTTAGTGCGTGGGATGTTCACTTCTCAGTATTTTCTGGTAGGACTTTATTATGAACAAATTTCTATTAGGAAAAAAAATGCATTTTCCTTCTTCTGTAACAACCACGAAACGCTCTCATCTTAAATAAGTTTTAAACGAGGACTTTTATCATAGTGGACCTAAGTTTGAAACGGGGACTTTTACTGTAGTGGACGTAAGTTCGAAAATTGGTGATCATCGAATGAGGGATATCACTGGTGCTCCCCAGTTTTAGCTGGGGAATATTCAGTACTGATGCGCTTAGACCAAATACGTGCGAACATAAATACTTGATGGATTTCAACATCAAGTATACATAACTTAGAAATCTTTACAGCTCATGATTAAGATTCTTCATGATAACCGGGAAATCTAGTTTGAAACACATCTTCGTGGTTTCCGCACTTTCCGATCGAGCAACACGCTTCTAATTGATAAGCAAGTACAGATTGACTAAGCCTAAGTGTAAACCAGCACACACACCCATTTGAGCTTTTCGTTCTAGCGCGGCGCGGAAATGTACTTGAAGTTAGCTCTTTTATCATCAGGAATCCTATCCAAAACCACCAATCCTTTATCTGAAAACTTGAGAAAATTGACAGAATAAAGAAAAAAGCAGACACTAAGATTTACAAAAAAGGGAAGAGCACTTTCAGTTGATCAAATCATGATCTTCCTATTTTTTTTAAATAATTATTATTTTTTGAATTTTTGAGGCAGTTTGCCATACTAATGGAGCGAAAATTAAGATTACGGCAGGGTAATCCTGAGAAGTATCATGGTACTAACATTTGTTCTGTACATCATGGATGGAACGGATCTTGACGTTAGCGTCCAACTGAATAAGGCAAAAAAAAAAAACTGAATACACATTGCTATGTCCTAATTCTCAGATACATTCCCGGTCGTACGGTCATGTGACGGGTTAAAAAAATACCTCGTAATCGTTTTTCAACATATGCTTGCTCATCACATTCTTTATTGGCGCCTGTGGTCTGCTGACCTTGGTGAGAAAAAATTAAGGACTATTGTATTATCAAACATGCCAAATCTACCGTAATCTCTTCTTCCAAGTTGCTGTTTAGCCTTTAGCTGCCGTGGTTACTTTAATTGTCTATCTAAAGCAGCACGTTTGGGTTTCACCCTCTCAAAATTGACTGTTTATTGAAAAAAAGCTCAGAGGAACAGATCACGCGAAATAGGTGCTAACATCATCAATGACAAGGCTCGATTGCAAACTATTTTTAGCTCAGTTTTCTAGGAAATGCTTTGTTTTGCCAGATCATGGGATAGAGATTAAATCCTCCATGTTCTTTGTGTTTTGATGTTATGATGAAACTTAATTAGCTTATCACGTGAAACTCCGACGTTTATCATGTGGCGCTCCCCCACATTGCTTCTTAAGATCCAATAAGATTCGATAAGCACAATCTCGTGTCGACCTTGGAACTTATCTTGTTTGGCAGAGTAATTATGCCCTCTTCTAGATTCGTCAATGCAGACAAATATTTCCTTTTCATGAATTAAAGAAAACAGAAAACAAAACCAAGGGGTTTTTCCCTTTAAGATAAAAGCCGCTTAAAGAAAGAACTATGTGACCCCATTCAACCGCAACGCCCACGTATGTCCTTTCTTTTTATTTTTGAAGCACGAGATTGGTGCAAATCGTGTGTGTGTGCGTGTTGTTTGCTGTTCAAAGTTTTCACATAAATTGGGAAAGTACCGAGTGCAAAGCGCCGGAAGTTTCTCAGAAATGGTCGATACGTGAACCGGAAAAAGTTTTATGATGACGAAACAACTAAGAGCAACCGACCCCTGTCGCGTGAGAGGGCCCCTAATAAAAATTTTATTGTTTCATTAGCAAAAAGTGTCTAATTGCATCTTGTGGCCACAAAGAACTCAGAGCCGAAAAAACCCTGATTTCTTTCTCTAATTTATGCAAGCACTGAAATCGATCGAACAGTTCAAAAGTAGAGCTGCCTCCGGAATTTCCCTCTCTTAGTGTGCTTTCCTAATGGCACAGATATTTGCTATATACCCATGCGATAGTCATCAACTGCCGTATTATGTTGACACGTGCTAAAGCGAAGATTTGCTTACAAATCACTTTCATTTTCAATTTGAAATGTGATGTATACCTCAAAAATCGTTTTTATGCGAACGAAACGAAGTAACTTGACATTTGAACTCCTAGGAACGGACTTTTATCCCCTTTTGATTATATAGAAAAATTGGAACAACTAAGCTGGGTTTTTCCCTCGAACATTGCTACCTGAAAACGTTTCCTGTTGCTACCCATATTTGGTGACCACCGAAGCGTGTAAGGTGCGGTTGACTGCCTCGGGTGCACTAAAATGGCAAAGCGAACTTTGTTTTGGTATTGATCATAAAGGGAGCCGTCTTGGATGTTTTGACTTTTTTTCTCCGTGAAAGCCTATTAAGTATTGCTCGTCGTGTAACTTCACTTTCTGAAATCAAAATTAGAATGTATGGGAAAGTCCCGGTCATTTCTACAGAAAAGAAGGAGTAGCGGAAAGTTACTATTTTGGCTCGATTCTTTCTTCTTTTTTTGTTCCTACAAACATCTGAAACTTATGAAACAGAAAGTTGTTTGTTTGCAACTGGCAAAGAAGGAAACCTAAAACACACCGTAGGTTCCAATAGTTTTCAAAAGTTACGCAATCTTACGTCGACCCTTGAATGTCTTCCGTTCTACGGAGAATTTAGGGCCCTTTTCAGGATCGTTTATGTGACGAAATGGATTAGTGAAAACTACTTTTAATGAGGGGTTTTCTCCTTAGAGAATTGATTTATGCTTTTTGAGTCCCTCAATGCAAAGAGAATGTTGTTTCAAATTAGATACTTAAAAGAAAGGATACGTGCAGCGGGAAATATATTTGTTGACGCTGCAGCTCACGACAACTGACCTCCGTTGTTTAAAACTGGTTGTTGTGTAAAAGGTTCATTGCTTCTGATGTACTTGAAGACAAACGCCAGAAACAATTGCAAAAGCGTCTTGTGGCTTCTGGTGGCCATAAAGAACCCAGAGCCAACGTGAGCTGGTTTCCCACCGAGCACGACCATTATAAACTACAGATTCTTTTAAAATAGATCAT